GAGCAACCCTGGGTAAGGAGTTGTTTCTATTGATGCGACCAAACAGAAGCTATTATTGGCAATGGCCAAATGATGTATAAAAATGTGCAGGGGAGTTTGACTCTTGGCCAGGGCATCCTGTAGTGCTGGCATGATTGCCTGGAATTTGAGTAACTGAGCTGATACTTGGGTGCAGTCTTTGATCCGGGACGGCCTATTTGATCTGGGAACAGAAAGTATTTCTGCAGTTCACTTTTCATCAGGTAGGGTAGTGGTACAGGGTCCATAAAGTACATGAACTCTTCCGGTCATTCATGTAATCCCAAGGGACTCCCCAAATGGCTAGTGAGTCTAGAAAAGGGGTGACCTCCTCGAGAATGATCACATCATCCTTTGTCCTATAGGTGGGATACGCCAGAAGGCCCATTTTTTTTTTGCTCTGTCCTATAGGTACCAATATCTTTTAATTTTTATTTATTTTTTAGATTTTATTTCTTTGACAGAGAGAGACACAGCGAGAGAGGGAACACAAGCAGGGGGAGAGGGAGAGGGAGAAGCAGATGCAGGGCTCGATCCCAGGACCCCAGGATTATGACCTGAGCCGAAGGCAGATGCCTAATGACTGAGCCACCCACGCGCCCCTACCAGTATCTTTTCAATGAGGAAGTCTCTGTGGTTAAAGCAAGTCTGGACTCATGACCCAGGGCAAAATGAAAGGCTGGCTGCATTGGATCATCAGCTCAGGACCTGTGAGAGCTTCTGTTTCCAGGAAGACTGGGTATTGCCAACAGCGGCTGCACTAGGCTGAGAACAGTTACTTGTACCAGAATGCTGTGGCCATCATAGGTGTTTGGAGATCCTGGGAGGTTTGAAAGGAGGCTGCAGAAGCCTCTATGGAATAGGAGTCTCAGGAGGGAGACACTAATGGAGTGACTGTTATTTGGTCAGATTCTAGAGCCATTTGTTTTACCAAAGTCATTCAATTTGTAAGTATTTTGTGGCTAAGCAAGCAGAACAGGTTAATTTTGCAACAGCTAAGATTGTTGTGGCTGAAGGCCATGTGCCCCGTGATGTACCTTCTGCCACTCTTCTACCCATGCACCTCACAGCCCCTGCTGCTGTTAGAGAAATGTTCCAGAGTGGGACAGGTGTGGGTTGTAAAGATGCTCCCCAGTAAGCAGGCAAAGTCAGCTTGCGATGGGAAACTAAGAGCTGTATGTGGCCTCAGGATGGCAAGGGAAAGATAGGACACTGATGCTTAGGCATTAAGAGGTCCTCAGATCGTACTTGGGGAGAACTGCAGGGTGCGCCCTCGTGTTTCAGAAGCACAGTATTTCCAAAGATCTGACTGAGGAACCTGACTTAGATTCTGGGAGCCCTCTCACTTTAGGTGCAGACGTGATTGCAAGAAAAGGCCTGTTGGGGACTGAGTCCTCCTTCCTCAATCCTTCAGTTCTTCCTAAGTAGTATCTCCAATACAGTGGAAAGAAGAGCTGCACACATGACAAGCAAGGTTCAGCAAAATTCAATATTCTCCCAGCATATGAAAGCATTTTTATTTTCTATTAATCATTTTGAGTATATACATACATACAATTTATAGTGGGGAGTCTCCACAAATGTGCAGTAATACTACCATCAAAAGATGAACCCCAGGGACACCTGGGTGACTCAGTCATTAGGTGTCTGCCTTCAGCTCAGGTTGGGATTGAGCCCCACATAGGGCTCCCTGCTCAGCGGGAAGCCTGCTTCTCCCTCTCCTACTCCCCCTGCTGTGTTCCCCCCCTCGCTGTCTCTGCAAAATCTTAAAAAAAATGAACCCCAGAACACTCTTATACTAAACCCCTCCACCACTGACCACTCATGTTTTAGATTCCTATGTTTGCCTTTCCCAGAATGTAATATAAACAGAACACACTGCCATATGAGTCATTTGTGAAATTTGATGGATAATTTGTAAAAGCGAAAATTTCTTGCAGTGCTTTTCTGAGTTTAAAATTTTGACAATGCCCAGTTACGTAGGTAGCACACATTAGATCTCCAAACGTGAGAGATGTTCTCCTGTGCTTAAGTTTCTCTTATGTAAGATGGAAGGAGTGATTGGTGGAGGCATCCAATGAGAGACCAATAATCATGAAATTACTGCCATAGTGCTAAGAAAATGTCAGTCAGTACTAAAAAATGAACAAGATTGACTTCCCTTTGCTCTTTAATAAAACTCCAAGTGGTTACTTCTAAATTCTCCCAGCCCATAACATGTGCTGGAAGTGTGAGCATATGGAAATGACACCTGTGGACAGTGAGGTGGGCTGTGGGGCTTTGTGGATCATTCAAACAAAAAGCTTCCAATTACTCCTCTTACAGAGAGACATTTCCCCTATTTTTCCTTTTACATAAAATTAGGATATTACTCAAAATGATACTTTGTGACTGCAGCTTTCCTTATTCCTCGGTAACTGCCTTCTAAACATCGCTATTTTTGGTGTTTCCACTGGGAAATCACAGTGGACTTGTGTAAATACCACTCTCTGAACATAAACTCTGGATGGGCTAGAACAGCGCAGATCATCATAACCTTTTTTCAAACTGGGAGAGACCCCAGGGTTTAATGGGGGGTTTATATTATGCAGTTAATATAGAAGCAAAAAAAGGGAGCCTGGGTGGCTCAGTTGTTAAGCGTCTGCCTTCAGCTCAGGTCGTGATCCCAGGGTCCTGGGATCAAGCCCCGCATCGGGCTCCCTGCTCAGCGGGAAGCCTCCTTCTCCCTCTCCCTCTGCCCGCAGCTCCCCCTGCTTGTACTGTTTCTTGCTGTCAATAAATAAATAAAATTTTTAAATATATATATAGAAGCAAAAAAAAATATATATATATAGAAGCAAAATTTAAGTGCCAAATACTGTAAAATTTAAATACAGGTAAATTGAAATGCTCTCAAATAATGTTAAACACAAAAAAAATACAGATATCTGTGGCCCAAGTCAGTGGCAAGTTTCAAGCCCCAGATATCCAGGCCCAAACTCATGATCACATATTCCATACAGAAAACTACAAAAAGAAAGATGAACTAGGTCTGTATCTTTATGGGGAATCTTTACTGTTAATTACAGGAATGCCAGACTTTCTCCATTTCTACTGCCCTCTATTTACTTCCACACCCAAGCTGTTCCTGAAAGCCTTTAAAATGTATTGCATGGTGGGAATTCAAGTGGTCAGTAGTGACATCCTCACTCAGGCTCCTTTCCTCCTAGAAAAGATACATTCCCAGCCTCCCTGTTATTTCGCGATGTTGCTTACTTTCCTTCAAAGCCCGCCCTTCCATCTTATTATCTAAATTTTACTACTTGTTAACCCTCTCTCTTTTCCCACAAAAATATGAGCACCAGGACTGCAAGAACTTGTGTTTAATGCCTCTATATTGAAATCCTACACTGATTTTATTATTTTTGCTACACAAGGTATGTTTTGAGTACACAGTGTCTGACAGATGAGGCATGTTCAAAGATTAGCATCAAGAGTAGTCTCTGAGGGGCGCCTGGGTGGCTCAGGTCATGATCCCAGGGTCCTGGGATCGGGCCCCACATCGGGCTCCCTGCTCCAGGGGGAAGCCTGCTTTTCCCTCTCCCACTCCCCCTGCTTGTGTTCCCTCTCTCACTGTTTCTCTGTCAAATAAATAAAATCTTTAAAAAAAAAAGAGTAGTCTCCGAGTAAGAAAGGCATGATTGGAACAGTAGTCCTGTTCTCCCCGCCCCCCCGCTAGGTTTTGTTCTCTCATAATTTACCTAAACTTACAGGCTTGGTGACATCATAGAGGAGATATTAAACATAGTTTCCTAAGAAGTGAAATTACATATTTTCACTGAGATTCTCGGAGGTAAACAGTGTCCATCAGTTCACTGTAGGAAATATATTGGTGTTTAGATAATGAGTAGGAAGGGCAACAGCTCTTCTAGGGGACTGGCCCTGCCAAATCTTACAGTGCTGAAGAGAAAAATACTGAACACTTCCATCAGACAAAGCAATTTGGTGATCATGATGGATCAAGACAAAAAGAAGGGTATTTTGTAACCATGTCTCTCAAAATGGAGAAGAGACCATTCTAAGTCACAAAAATAACCAAAGTTCTCTTCTTAATATGACTGACTGGAGCTTCTTACAGGCTTAGCCCCACTATACTGGGGAATCAATCATTTTCTAGAAGGTAAAGACAATGGTAGAATTGTCTACCTCCACAAAGCATCCAATACATCCAGAACCTTCTTGCTGTTACTGAATAGTAATGAAATCACCTAGCAAAAACCCAAATCACTTAAGTCCTTGGAAACACTCTTACTAATAAATCCAGTCATTTAGGGTTTGCGGTCCTTTTTTTAAAGTAGGCTCCATGCCCAGCTTGGAGCCCAACATGGGGCTCAAACTCACAACCCTGAGGTCAAGACTTGAGCTGAAACTGAGAGTCGGATGCTCAACCAATTGAGCCACCGAGGCACTCCTGCAGTCATTCTTGTTACTATAGTTCATCACACCCCTGCTGACTGCTGATGTGAACGTAGTGGGTTTGTCTAGCAAGAGGACACTGACCAAATGAGAAGTTTCATGACAAAGAAGACTGTACCTATAAAAGAATGAAAAGCACCTCAGCACGTATACAGCACAAGGTAATACTGGGAAGGTATGTTTAGCTTGACAACATTACAAAGTTGACCTGAAAATTCATAATTACAATGGGATATTTTAATATATGCTCTCAGGAAATGAGAGACTCAATATATGTTAGCATACAAATTAAAACAGTTAATAAAATGTTTTAAGTTTTATTTGAGAGCGAGATCAAGCTCAAGAGCATGAATGGGGGAGTGGGAGGAGAAGCAGCCTCCCCACTGAGCAGGGCGCCTGACGCAGGGCTTGATCCCAGGACCCTGAGATCATGACCTGAGCCAAAGGCAGATGCTTAACGACTGAGCCACCCAGGAGCCCCAGTTAATAAAATGTTTTAAGAAATGACTACAGAATATTTTGTTTGACAAATGCATTGCTTTTAATCACATACAATCAACCACACTTGAAAACATACCGAGGAATTACACACAGCTGAGCAAACCTGCCTGACAGGAGGGAGGGGCCAGCTGTCCTAGAGAAGGACAGGGCCAGAGCAGTAGCTGCAGTGGAGGAACAAAGTCCACGGTGTTCTTCTGGTCACTGTAGCACTCACAGTGGAATCAGGAGTACATGGTCACTAGCAGTATTACCAAAACAAGGTATTGACTACACAAATTAGACCTTAAATGAATGCAATACAGAGGAGAGTCTGGGCAACAGAGAGTACTCCCAACCATGAAAGTTCAGATTAGTTGCCTGGTGGACACATGAGGGCTGGCAGGAAAATCCAAACTGTGATGGATCTTTGATGCCGAACTTGTGGAGGTATATGTGGAAACCTACGCCTCTGAGAAATGAAGTCGAGCAGTTAATTGTGGTTTTGAGGACACTCTTGACTAGCAGGGCAAGAGATCAGGAAAATAGGCTGTAAGCAGGGATCCTCAAAGCTCCTGTACAGCTCTGTCTGGTGGCTCTGAAACCTGATGCCTCCTGTACTCCTGCCTTTCAAATCTTACACAAGTGAGGCTACAGGTATAGAATCATAAAGGAAACAGATTCTAGAAAATGTCACATTATCCAGGTGACAAAACATAATTTAGGAGTGCCATCTCCAATTCTACATTTTATTATCCAGTGACTGGTCTGTCTTAATGCAAAATTGATTATTCAAATCTCAGCCAGAAGGAATGGCAAAGGCCAAAAGATGGAAATAACTGATCAGACGATACTTCATAATAAACTGCATATTTACAAATTTATGCCATCTTTTTATTAGCAAGGAAAATGGAATTAAGGCTCTTCTGGCCAAAAAAGAATTGGTTTTCTCCCAAGAAAGATGGAGTGTATGATGGGTAACGGATATCCAGTAGCTGACACAGGAGGCCAGTAAGAAAATACCAAAACATTTATCGATAATTCAATTAAAACATTATATAAAAATTAAATCTACTTGCACATTTAGAAACCATTCCAATTCACCCATGGATCAAGCAAACTCCAAAATGGAAAGAGAAAAATGTTATCAACTGATTTAAGGAGAAAACAAATATCTATTAATCTTTAAACAACAGTAATAAGAGTACTTACAGAATTATCTCACCTCAGTGTTCATTTTTGAAAGTAGTAAATATCCACAGTCCAGAGATCCACTTTAAGAATGAGGCACTGATAATATATTTATAACTTTTATGATTCTTTCATGTTAGTTTTCTGGAACATTATACATGGATTAATTTGTATCAGGCTTTCTTATATTTGTTGGATTTCTTTCCGGGGGGGGGTTTCACATGTAAGGATGAAGGTCAATTGATGTTTTTCCCACACTGCTTACATTCAAGAGGTTTCTATTCAGTATGAGATCTCTCATGCCTTCGAAATGAATTGGGACGACTAAAGGCTTTTCCACATTCTTTACATTTGTATGGTTTCTCTCCAGTGTGCATTCTCACGTGTCCTCGAAAGGTAGTGCGATAAATAAAGGCTTTTCCACATTCTTTACACTCATAGGGTTTTTCTCCAGTGTGAGTTTTTTCATGTGTTCGAAAGGATGTGTAACAACTAAAGGCTCTACCACATTGTTTACATTCATAGGGCTTCTCTCCCGTGTGAGTTCTTTCATGTATTCGAAATGAACTGGGAAAATTGAAGGCTTTCCCACATTCCTTACATTTATAAGGTCCATCTCCAGTG